GGTCATGATCTCAGGGTCGTGAGATGGAGCCCACCATTGGGCTCCAGGCTGGGTATGGAACCTGCTTAAGATTCTCTCTCTCCCTCTCCTGCTTCTCCCTCCAAATAAACACACCAGTTCTGATGCAAGTAATCTGCTGACCCCTCTAAGAAGAGCCTTGCATTGCCTATTTTTAGTTGGATATGGAAGCTACATAAGCAAGAATGTCAAGGGAACACAAAAGTGGTCCTCTATCGCCCACTATGCTCTTGACAAGAGGAGGCCCAAATGTGACTCTCTGAGGGAGGGCATGTGGAGCAGTTGGGCACATACACGGGACTGTAAGTGGATACCTTGTTCAGTTCCAGAGTGTTCTCAGGTGTGCTGCCTGTGCAAGCCACAAGAAGACCTGGGTAACAAGGAACTCAGGTCTGAAGGATTCTGACTGCACCACCCTACCTGAGGGGGCTGGTCTAAATGACCTTCCTCTATACCAACATCCCACATCCCCACGCCTACTGACCTGTCTTGAGAATTGGGGAGGTGCTTTTTTTCAACCTTGCCAAAACGATGCAGTGTGAATGCTTTTTTATCTAAGTGATTCAGCTCCTATTCTTTTCCTTTCTCCTATCTCCCCCATCCCTTCCTACTGAATTTTCAGAATTCCAGCATCTATGTGCCAAGCATTCATCAGAGGGATGGAACAGCAGCAAGGAGACTTGATGCCAGTGAGAAAACCAGTTGTTGACACTATTTCTGATCTCCAGTGGTGAGGGTTTGGGGATCAGCCCTGTGAGGCCACTGTTTGTGCCAAATGTGACATAGGCTGGACACACAAATTTGAGTGAAAGAGTGTTAATATCACTCTGAAAAAGAGCGTACCTTATACTACCAGACAACTTCAAAGTCAACTATTTGTCAAGGGTCTGGTTATAGTTCCTCTGGGAATGGAAGTGGGGAAGGACTCACTGGCTTTCTGGCTTTCCCCATAGCTCTCATTTATTGAAGACCGTGTGCTAGGGGTGTCCTAAGGACTTACCCATCATCTCCTTTAATCCTTGGACCCCATAGGGTAGGTACTGTCTCTATGTTACAGGCAAGGACATTGAAGGTCAGATATCAAAAGTCCCATAGTTTTAAAATGGCAGAACTGAGACGTGAATTCAGAAATTTGAATTCATCCTAAATTCCGAGTCTCGGTTCTGATCGGTGAAAACACGGCTCAGGCAGGCCCCACTTCTGAACACTTCTGTTTGATGAGAAGCAGAGCCTCCCCTCCACAGCACACAGGTACCCACCGCCCTTACCAGAACAGAGAGGAGACCACAGGAGAGCAGGGCAGCATTTCTCTCTGTACAGTTTTTACTTTTTTATTTTTTGATGTTGTTCAGATGAATGACACACTCAAGTTACAAAAATGGGGCCTTAAAAGAAGCACATTGTACAATGAACAAGCAGATTGGAGTTAAGAACACTGAAACGCTAACCCACTACCACGAGAAGAGACAGGGAGGGGGGTACAGGATGGGAAGGGAGGGGCTACCAACACAGGGGTTCAGACAGAACTGAAAGTGGGGCTCACTTGCTGAGAAGGGACCAAAGGCAGGTCTCCTCCGGGCCCACTCAATTTCCAGAAGCCACTTTGTGGTCTTCCTTGCCCGCTACTTGCCACCTCTTCCCCTCCCCATCCCAACCTGGTCATCTGAATGAGCAGGTGAGAGACACCCACTCCAGAAAGGGCCGAGCCACTCAGATCTTTACCAGATGGGTAGTCACCTTGCCTCAGTGCAGGCTTGGATTTTGGGAGGTGCTGGTGGCAGCAGTGGGATAAGAAGCCAGAAAGGAGCTAGCAGAGAGGCCCCTGCTTTTCCCCCAAAGACTCCTTGCCCCTTCCCCACCCCACAGTGATCCAAAGGCCCTCTCTACCTGCGGAGAGAAGCCCCCCAGTCACCCTGCAATTATGCAAATAAATTAATACTGAGCCCCTGGGCTTGGAGGACAGGCTGGGGGAGGGGCAGCAGGGATTGAGGAGAGGAAAGGGAAGCAGAAGGGGGAGGGGTCACAGACATAGTAAATAGTTGTCTCCGTCCCAGCAACACTTCTCTCTAGATTTTTTCCTCTCCTTTTTGTGTTTGTTTAACAAGGAGCTAACATTTCAAGGACAAATACTTAAAAATATACATAATTTTTTTCTTCTTTTTCGCCTTTGTCATCGTCATCTTGCTTTGGAGACTGCTGAGGTCAAAGTTCAAACCGCAACGCAGGAACTGCGGCTTGGAGTTTTTGTGTATTTTTTTTTAATTTTTATTTTTTAATTTTTTTCACTTTTTTTTTCCAACGTATAAAAAGGTAGCGGAGTTGTCTGTGGGTTTTTTTTTTTTTAATGGTTAAATCTTTGGTTTGTTTCTTTTTTCTCTTGGAGGCCTTTATCTCTCGCACTTGCCTTTCCCACTCAGAGGCCAGTGGGGGCCCGCGTGTCTCAGTCTTGCTCAGACGGTCTCACTCTCTCTCACTCAGTTCCCCCTACCCTGGGCTAAAGGGAGAGAGAGGCACCCTGGGATTTGGGTGGGCAAGGAAATTAGTTGGGTCAAGAGGTCATCACCCTTACCCTGTCCACCCAGGGTATGGGGCTTGGAGACCCTCTCTTGGCCTTCCCCAGGGAGGAGATATGCAGGGGGGAACTAATACCCTTCCTCCCTCCTGTCCTGATCTTATTAGCCCTAACTCTTCCAGGGCTTGGGTTCCCCATCTCCACCCACCCCTACTGATACCCCCCAGCCCCTCCTTCCCACTTCCAGCCCCCACCCTCCCAGAAGAGAACAGAGAGGTGTTTTCCTTACTGGCATTTTCTTTCTTTTTTTTTTTTTTTGGCACAAAAGGCCCACCATTAGGGCAGACCCATTCATTCTCTGTCCCTCCCTCAATTAGGAGGTCAGGGTCAGGGAGAAGAGAAATTCAGAAGGCTCCCCCTTTCTCCAATGCACTCATCTTCCTCTCTTCCTAGACCAGGCCGCTGCCCCCCCCCCACCTCAGACATCTCACCTAGCCCAGAGCCTGGCTTGGGGTCTCCCTCCCCATCCCCCACATAAAGTCCCCTAGCCCCCCCCCCCCACTCTCTCTCTCACACACAGACACACGGACACAGGCTCTGTACAGACCACAAAATAAAAACGATGAGATAGTTTTGTTTCCCGGAGTCGAGACAGGGGGTACTGGAGTGGAAGGGGCAGAGCGGGGTGGGGGGCATGGATTCCCCCATCACCTCCCCAACCCTGGCTCCCTCCAGCCCCCCAGCCCCTTGCCCTGGCTGGCCCCCAGCCAACGATATTTGGTTTCCTTTTTTTTAACATTAAAGTTCTATGAGGTATTTGGTGCCTTATCTCGAGTCCTCGGGGGAGGGGGGCCCAGGGGGGAGACCTGGGGCACACTGCCCCTCCCTCCCTCCCACCCCCTTCCCAATATTTGGTTTCACAGCTGTAGTTAAAGCTTGGGATTTGGTTATTTTTCCCCTCCCAGGAAATTTTTTTTCTTGTTTTCTTTTCCCAGTTATGGGGGTCAGATGGGGAGGGTCCCCCTCACCCCCAGGCTGCACGTGGGGGGGGGGTCCCTCCACCAGTGTCAGGGCATCGGCCCCATCCCTGCCCCTGCTTCCTCCGCTCCTCTCTGCCCTGCTCCCCCAACACCAGGGGTGCGGGAGAGGTCCCCAGTGGCAGGAGTTGATGGGGAGGAAGCAGGACGAAGTGGGTGGTGGTGAGTCCTGGATTTTCTTTCCTTTTTTTCTTTTTTTTCCTTTTTTTTTTTTTTTTTTTTTGTGGGGGTTTTTTGGCTTTTTTTGTTTTTTTGTTTTTTGTTTTTTTTGTAGTTTTTTTGTTGTGTTTTGTTTTTTGGTCTAGAATCATAGTTTTTAGTCATCTCCACCATGCCTTCCATGCTGCCTGTCTTCTCGGAGGGGTTTTGGTCGTAATTCCTTTCACTTTGCTCTGCTCAAAAGTCCTTCCTATCTGTTCAGGAGCCCTTGGCCCCCTCGCCACCCTTGGGCTGGGGCCCAGGCCCTCTTGCCAATCCCTTCTCTTCGGAAATAAAAAAGGACAAACTCAGAGGTAGGGTAAGGGCAGGGAGTCGGTTCAGCGGAGATGCTTACATTCTGGCGAGGATGGGTCGACGGCAGGCCAGGCCCCATTGGTGCCAGGATGGGAGAGGCAGCCACTCCACCACTGCCCAGACAAGGCACCCCGAGACCCCCAAAACAACTGAGTCTCTGCTGTCTCCGTGGCCCAGCCCAACAGTTTCATTTCCCCGGGTGGGAGAAGGGAGACAAGAAAGAAAGAGAGAACGCTGAGACCTCGGGGCCCAGGGCAGGCGGCTGCCTCTCCTCGGAGTGTCCAGCCGGTTCCCAGGCTCCCAGGGGGGGCTTCCAGGGGGGCTCCGCCCAGCAGGGGTCAGGCCTCTGATTTCAATGGCTCTCGTCCTTCACAGCAACACTTTGGTTTGAGGAGAGACACAGAAAGACTGGAGACTGAGAGAGGTGAGAGAAGAGCCAAGAAGAGGGAGAGGCAGAAGCAGAGAGAGAACAGACTGGAAAGAACAGAAAAAGAAATGAGAGGAATCAAACCACCCGAAAGTTTGTTCGTTTTCCTTTGTCCATTCTTTTTGCTTTCTTATTCCTTTTTTTCCTGTTTTGTTTTGTTTTTGTTTTAAAGCTTTTTCAGTGGATTGGGGGGCAGGGAGCAGGGGGCTCTTCACCCCTGTCCCTGACCCCCTCTCTCAGCCCTGCCCACCCGCTTCCATCCACCCTGGCTGAGGGACAGGCCCTGCCCCAGCCTCCCCCTCCGGCTTTCCCGAAGACGACGTCCATGAGGTATTTGTGAAGAGAAAGAAGCGTCTGTCCTTCCATCCGCCTTGAGGACCAAGGGCCTGGACCACTGGCGCAGGGGCTTGGCTCCACCTCGCGGCTCCTTCTTATTCTTGAAGAGTCCTCGTCTTCTTTCCCTTAAATATATATATATCTATAAATTCTTTTTTCTAGTTTTAATTTATTGTTTGGTTTTTTGTTTTTGTTTTTTTGTTTTGTTTTGTTTTTTTTTTTTTTTGGTTCAAAACTTTGTTGGCCTCCACAATAGCAGGAGGGCAAAGTGGCTCCCAGCGGCGTCTCTCCTCTGTCTGTTGAGACGTGTCCAGGGCTGGGCAAACACGGGGTCCAGCCAAGACTCAAGGGAGGTCTCGTGGGAGTGGTGGCCACCACAGTGCCCTCTCGGATGGGGACCACAGGTCATGGCACTGTCCCCGCCACGTGGACCCTGATGGGGATATCACCTCGAGGAACCCCACCACTGGGGTGCGTGCGTGTGTACATGTGTGTGGGGTGGGGAGGGGGAAGAGGCATCTGCCAGTATCAGGGGCACAGGGTGGGAAGAGCGAGGTGAGTTCTCTTTTTGGTTTCTGGTCAATGTCAAAGAACGTGAAAGATCCCACGGATAGGCACTGGAATATGAATTTTTTTTTTCAGGGAAACTGACAGACGAGAATGGGAAAAAGACAACTTGAATGCCCTCACCTCATCCCTCTTGCCCGAAGCTTCCACCTTCCCCTGGGCTGGGGAAGGGAGTGGATTCCAGAGCAGAAGAGGGTGACGGGGTTGAGGGGGGAACGAACGTGTGAGAGCTAGAACTTTTCAAAACGGCCTAGCCCACCCTTCAGAGGGAAAAGGGGGAGGTACAAGGGGTGAAAAGTCATCCCAGGCCTGCCCCTGCACTCTCCCCTGGCTGGGGGAGGGAGGAGGTTAAAGCGAGACCCCCCTGCCCAAGTAGGGAGAGCTGGGGGCCAAGGGAGAGGGGGACACATGGTAGGGACACATTCTGTTGAGCGCAACGCTAAAAATTCTGTACATCCTTTGGATGAAGCTACTGAATATTTGGTGTAAGGTTGTTCACGCCCCTTCTCTTTCAACTTCTGGAAAAGAACATTTGGCGGGTGGTTCTGAGCCCACCCCGTTGGCCCCAGGCTGCTGTGCCCTGTCTTTGCTGGCCCAGGGCTAGGGGCTGGGGCTGGAGGCTGGCACATTCTCTTGCCTTCTCTGGCCCCCACTGGGGGAGACCAGGTTGGGGGTTGGCCCCCCAGCTAGGGACTCGGCGAGAGGTCCGCCCTGCCGAGGCTTCTCTGCCCCTGGCTGGGGTTCTTATTTGGTGTCATAGCGGTGAGGGTGAGCACACTGAGGTCTGGCTCGCAACTGGTTTTTGGTTTGGTTTTGTGGGGGATTTTTTTTGATTTTGGTTTTTGTTTTTCACCTCTGGTTCCTTTGGGGCAGCTGGTTTCTGTTGTGATTATTTTTGGTTTCTTTTTGTTGGTTGTTTTCTTTCATTTTCTTTCTTTCTCTCTTTTTTGTTTGTTTGGTTTTTTTTTTTTTTTTTTGGTTAGTTGGGTTTGTTTTGTTTTTTTGGTCTTTCCTTCCTTGTCACTCCGGCTCCAAGGACCCTCTGCGCCACCACTGCTGGCCTCCTCGCCCTCTTCTCAGGCGGGGGACTTAGGTGGGGGTCAGAGGAGTAGGAGGGGAGGCAAGGTGGGCCCTCACTCAGGCTTAGACCCTGCCTCGGGCCCCCCGGAGCCTCCAGGGGTCTGTGCTGCCGCCTCACTGCAAGTGGAGGACGAGGACGAAGACGACGAGGAGGACGAGGAGAGGCCCGGAGACTTGCTGGAGATGGAGGCCGCCACGGCTGCAGCGGCTGCGGAGACCAGGCCCACGCCAGGTGGGGCACTGAGCAGGGGCAGCCCAGCGTGGTTCAAGAAGAGTGGCGAGGTCACCAGGCCAGGGCTCCCTGGGGCCGCGCCGGCCGCCCCCAGCACCAGGTTCCCGCTGCCGTCAAGGCTGGTAAGGGGCAGGGTTCCACCAGAGGCCAGGGCTGGTGGGGAGAGAGAGAGGCTGGGCTGGGGGCACCTTCCAGCATCCTGCCCACAGTGCCCCCTGTCTTCCCATCTGTCCCACTGACCCCCATCAGCAGCCCTCACACCTTCCCCACAGGTGAGATGGGTATGAAGAGGCGAGCAATGCAGTGAGCGGGGGGCAGGATGGCATGGCTGGAGCAGCAATGAGGGGGGCTCGAGGCCCCAGGGGGCCAGGCTGGTGGCGATGGGAGTGACATGAGGCAGCACGCACCTTGGATAGTGGCCAAAGGGTTGTTGCTCATGAGGGCTGGACTCAGCCCGGAGCTCAACCCCACCATTGTGCTTCTGCAAGAGGCAAAGCAGAGGCGTTAGCAGGGGACCCGCTGGCAGCAGAACTGGGGCACAGCTCCCACCCAGGAAGCAGCAGCGACCCTGCTTCTCTCCTCACAGCCTCCCTAACTGCAGGTGTCCACTTACCCCGTGCTGGGGTTCAGGCCCGACAAGCCGATGGCCGAGTGGCTGCCTTGAGGGCTGGGATTTGTGCTGTTGGTGGTGGCCGGGGGTGGGGGAGTGACAGAGGGGATGGAATTGAGGGGGGGCGCGGCCCCGCCCCCGCCCCCACCCCCTCCGGCTGTCCGGCTGGGGTGGAGCGTCCCCACAGCTGAGGATAAGGTAGTAACTGCCAGAGAGAGATAGAAAGATAGAGACTTCAGCTTTCACTTGTCCTCCACCGAGGAACCCGAGGAACCCGGTGTCGGTGTGGACTGGGCTCACCTTCCCCCCCAGCTCGCGCCCTGCAGCATCTTCTCTGGAGGAACAGACTTAGGCCTCCCACCCGCTCTTCCCACAGCCTCGGTGACAGCGATCACGATAATCGCAGTAAGAGCAGTTGCCACTCACTGAGCCATGCCCTGTGTCCAAGTGCCCGGGTGCGCTCACACACAGCAGGAACCTTGCCCTGAACCCCTGCTCCGGGCGCCCAGAAGACTATGCCCCGTGGCTCCCTCTAGGAGCCAGGCAGGGGGTTGCGGCTGTGCCCGCCGAGGTGCACAGGGCTCAGAGCCCACACTTGGGTCAGACAGCCAGGGCAGCAATTTCCTGGCTGTTCAGTCCCATCTGTGCCCTTGGGCAAGTGCCTTCACCTCTCTGGTCTTCAGTTCCCTAATCTGGAAAAAGGTATAATAATAGAACCTATTTCATAAAGTGGTTGCGAGGATAAAATGAGTCATCAATATTCTCATTTCAAATGAGTTTAGATAGTGCCAGGCACACCCTTGTTACTTTATAAACTTCCACTTAATAACTCTTAATGTGAGAAAAATCAATATGATGTTTGTTTTCTATTCTTTTTTTTTTTTAAGTTTATTTAAGTTATCTCTATACCCTATGTAGGGCTCGAACTTACAACCCCAAGATCAGGAGCTGTATAGTCCACCAACTGAGCCAGCCAGACTCCAGTTTTCTATTATTCTTGTATATGGTGTTAAACATGCCTGTCCCAGGAGGGGGGCAAAGGGGGTTTGGTCTGTGTGTACACAGACATACACACTCTTGTATGTATATATTCCTGTATATAGCTTTTCTGTGTATTATATGTTCACAAAGATTTTATAAAAACTGAGGCTCAGAGAGGTAAAGTCACTTCTAGAGTTCACAGTTTATAAAAGCCAGGAACAGAACCTGAGTACATCAATGTTTAGCAAGCCCATGTTTTTCTCATATGAAATCATAAAGCAGATGAGAGCTGAGCTGCTCTGGCAGGAAGGGATGAGGCTGCCCTTTCCCCTCTGTGACCCCTGCCTCCCTCATCCCCAGGCTCAGCCTTGAGGCCCACAGGTGCCCTGAGCTACTAGAGAACCTCGGGCCTGTACTGTGTCCTCCCAACACCCCCTCACAGGCTCTTGCCCTCCCTGACCTGTTGTGCTCAGACTGCTGGAAGCTTGGGACAATGGCAAGGTCCCGGCACCCCCTTGGGGTGTGACCTGGGGAAAGAGAAAAGAAGGCATGGTGAGGCCACTTCCCAGCAGCCCCCATGACACTCCCTGTGGGTAAAAGCCCCAGTCATCTGCCCCAAGGCTGGGGGGAGAAGGGGCTTTGGGCACAAGGCTATGCTTGTATTATGCTATGGTTCTTTCCATCATATCTATCTTGACATTTACCCAAAGTGATCTCAAGCCACAGGTGGGAAGAAATAACTCCCAGTTGACAATGTTCCCCTACCTTTCTTCTGACACCATCCAGTTGCAGGTCTAAAGTGTGCGTGAGCGTGTGTGTGTATGTGTGTGTGTCTGCGCGGGGGGTGGGGATGAGGGTGGGGGATGGGTGTTATGATGATAAGGGATAGCTCTGCATCAGAGTGTTGGGATGTCATATTGCTTGACTTTCTGGGACCCTCCCCCACCAGCCTCCTTGGCCTCCCTGCCTCCAGTCTCATCCTTCCATCAGCTCCAGAAGCCTCATGTAATGGAACCCTGTCCCTCCCCAGCTCAAAACTCCTCCTTAGCTCCTCACTGCCCATGGTTCACGTTCAAGCTCCTCAGCATGTTACTTGAGAATCTGGCCCCTGCCCACCCCCTATACATATGTATTCCTGCTCCACCCTCATTAAAATGCACTGGAGTTCCTCAGTTTGGTCTCAGCACACTCGGGCTTTTAGACCATTGCACACAGCAGTCCCTTTGCCTATGCTTCAAGTGGCTGGCTACCTCTCCCTCATGCTTTATGACTCAGTTCAGATGGTCTCTTCTTCCTCCATACCAGGGGTGGGGGTGGGGGGTTCCTCTCTGCAGCGTCACAGCCTTTTGCACAAGAGATGCAATAAAGGGGTGTCCCAGTGTGTCTGATCCTGAGTGGGCTTGTGTGTAGCTGTGAACCTGAATGTACAACCAGGGACGTAATGCTGTCCCTGCCTGCATCTGTGTGTGTGGCTGTGAACCTTGTGTGTGTGTATGCGGGGGGGAGGGACAGTACCTCCATCCCCTACCTGGGATCCATCCCTGCGTGGCCCTGCCCTGTGACAACTATTTTTGGCTCTGTTGGTGTGTCTCTGTGTGTGCTTGAATCCCCCACATAAGACTACAGTTCCCTGGAAACTGTGTCCTTGTGTGACTGTGCTCCACCCATATGACAGCCTGTCCCCACCGGTGAGTCTCCCTGCCTCAGTGCTAGGCACTGTGAACAACCCAGTAGGCTGTGCTTCTTCGTAGACATGGCTGCCTACGGGCGTGGTGTTGCCATAGCTTTATGCCCCCCCACCACCCCTCAGAGGGGTTCCTGGTACCAGATGGGGGCTGTAGCTCGCCGGTTTCCCCGGGCTGGGCAACATGGGGGCTGCGCTGCAGGGGTTGATGCGTTTTTCCTTCTGGCGCCGGTTGCAGAACCAGACGCGGATCACTTCCTTCTCCATGTGCAGCTGCTCTGCGATCAGCAGGATCTCCTCTGAGGTAGGCTTCTGGTTCTGTGGGCAGAGGGGTGGTGAATCCCAGGTCCACACTAACACGCCCCCGCCCATCAGGGCTGCCCAGGAAGCCACGGCCTCACCGCTAGAAAACTCTTCTCTAAGGCGAAGCGGACATTTGTCTCAATGCTGGTCCTCTTCTTGCGTCTCCGGCCGGGGAGTCCGTCGAAGCCCAGGCTGGGGCTGCTCAGCTGGTTGGGGCTGGGCAGGCTTGAGTCCACAGACATAGTCTCTGTGCCCAGGAGGAGACAGGGGCATAAGAGGGCGCCTCCCGGGCCCACCACCCGCCTCCCGCCGTGGGAGCCCCAGGCCAGTCTCACCTGCGTCATTGAGCCACTTCTCCAGGAGGGGCTTGAGTTTGCACATGTTCTTGAAGCTCAGGTTGAGGGCCTCGAAACGGGAGATGGTCGTCTGGCTAAAGTCGTTGCCGTAGAGCTTGCCCATGGCCAGGCCCACGTCACCCTGGTCCAGTGGGGTGGGAATGGGGTCAGCGGTCAGGCCCTGCCTTTGGTGCCTGGCTCACCCGGGTGCACCCGCTAGCCACACCCCTGGCCCCGCCCACCCCCACCCCCACTGCGGCCGCGCCCCGCCCACCACCTGGCTAGGCCAGGTCACCCTCATGCCCACGCCCCGTGCTGCTGGGTGGCCCCAGACCTGTGTGAAGCCCAGCTTGATGCGGCGTTGCTTGAAGGTGCGGGCGAACTGCTCCAGCTCCTCCAGGTCACTGGGCTCCTCGGGGTGGGATGGTGGCTCCAAGCATTTGGGGGGCTGCGGGTGCGAGAGGTGCGGGTCGGGCAGCGTGGGGCGGGTCACGGCCTGGTAGGGTGGGCAGGGGGGGTGGGATGCAGGACCGAGCACCAGGACGGGGCTCAGCGATGGCTACGCACTCCTCCTTCCCCTTCCCTCCCAGCGGTCCCGCCTCTTCCTGCAGGCTCTTCTGTACCTGTCTCCGGGAGGCTGATGCGCACTCACTGCCCCGAATTCTCTCTCTGCACATTCCCTCCCAGCCTGCAAACTCCCAGAAGGAGCAGCCAGCTCCTTTCAACCAAGGACTTTTTTCCCTGGAGCTGGGGGCCATGGTTTTATCGTTCTCTCGGTCAGGGAATCAATGACTGGCTCTGCTACCGAATTGCTGGGAAACTTAGACAAATTTCTTAATCTCCCTGGGCCTCCGTTTCCCCCCTGCAGAATGGAAGCAATCATGGCTGCTCTGCCCACCCCATGGCTTGATGGGAGAATCCATTTAAAGGTTGCAAATAAAGTGAAAATATTTTTAAAAGTAGATGGGGAGGGTGACTGGGGGATTTACAAAGAATGAACCACTCTCTCTAGAATGCTTCATTTCCCTAAAAATATCTGAAACAGGTGGTGAGTGCAGCCACGTTGGTCACACAAGTCCTTGATCCATTATCCAAATGCTAGGGCCAGATGTGTTTTGGAATTCAGAAATTTTGTAGATTTTAGAAAGCCTACATGGGGCATGTATAAATAACATGACTCCCCCCATCAGGGTCAAGACATCACCCCATAATTGAACATATTAACAACTCTCAGAAAAGCACAAATATCACACAGAAGGGAGAAAGGAAAGTCATACTCCTTGCCTTAGGTCAAGACAAGTTTTGCAGCCAAATGACTTCTGGTTTCACATTACGAAAACAACTTGGTTTTCCAAGCATTTTGAATATCAGAATTCAGCTCAGACCCATATTAGTCTCTAAATTTTTTGGGTTTTCTGAAATAGTGCATCTATTTTTGAAAGGGCTGTTAAAAATAAGTGGGTAGGAGGGAATGTTGAAATCTGTAAAGAATCACGAAAGATTATTATTAAAATCTAGAACCCAGTCAGGAAACTGAAAGAAAGGCCAAGCCATAACTTATAGGTTTTTTGTGTGCTTATGCATGTGTGCATTTTTTGGGGGCAATGGGGGTCAGATCTAAATCTTTCTTCAGATTCTCAAAGGAGCCATGTGTCTGAAAGGGTTAAGAGCCACTGGCCTGCCTGACTCCCCTGGTTCTATAGAGAAAGAAGCTGAACCAGACAGGGAGAACAGCTTGTCCAAGGTCCTACAACAAATCTGTGGCAGAGCAGGGCTGGACCCCAGGTCTCCCCAACTCCTGTCCTGGCCTTTGTGGTCCTGAGGAGGGTCAAAGGGAGAGGAGACCCTTACCTTCCCACCCCCATTCACCCAGCCTGGCACACTCACTCTATGGACATTCTCACCTGTGTGGGCAGCCCGGCCCGGGGCTGGGAGGTCAGAAGAGCTCCCTGGGTTTGCTGAGGTAGCTGGAAGAGATTTGGCGTCGGTAGCAGGCCTGGGGAGACAAGAGGAATGCACGGGGTGAGGGGGGAGAGAGAGTTTTGTGGAGGCATCATCAGGGAGGCCATGGGGGTGGGGCTTACCTGGCTGACTCTGCTGGGCCTGTGGCAGCAGGAACTGAGCAGGTGGCTGGAGGTGGTGACCCGGTACAAGCACCAGCTGCTGAAGCTGGAGGAGCTGCTGTATGTCCTGGCAGGGAGGAGGACGGTCAGAAAGACAACCTGAGTCCTGGCCCAGCTCCTTCTGCATTGCTTGAGCCCTAAGGGGTTCCCCAGGGAGGGCAGTAAGGCATGGGGCACGGTCTCTGAATTACATCCAGAGCTAAGGGCGCCTAAGAGGCTTCTCCCAACCCTGGGGCTATCATAGCAACTATCTGGGCTGTCCCAGGAGGGCTCGCTCTTTATTTATCTTTCCTTTCTTGAAGAAATATTTGCCTTGTCTTAACATTCCCACAGAACAAATAGTATCGTTTAAAAATGTAAATCAGACCAAGTCTTCCCTTCTTTTAAAACCCTCAAGGCAAATGATACCATGGCTGGAATTAGCTTTAAAATACTCTGGCACAGTAAATTTGTTCAACCACTTTGGAAAGCTCTTTGGCACTGTTATGGCTTGATTGCGTCCTCCTCTCAAAAGATATGTAGGAATCCTAACCCTTAGAACCCTAGAGTGTGGCCTTATTTGGATATAGGGTCTTTGCAGAAGATCAGGTTAAAATTAAGTCATTAGGATGGGTCCTAATCCAATAAGACCAGTGTCCATTTAGTAAGGGGGGATTTGGACACACAACAAATGCATACAGAGGGAAGGCACTACCTAAAGAGAAGATGGCCAACCCTGCCAACACATTGGCTTTGGACATGTAGCCTCCAGAACTGTGAAATAATAAATTTCTGTTAAGAGAGTCAGCTTGTGGGACGCCTGGGTGGCTCAGCAGTTGAGCGTCTGCCTTCAGCTCAGGTGTGATCCCGGAATTATGGATAGAGTCCCACATCAGGCTCCCTGCAGGGAGCCTGCTTCTCCCTCTGCCTGTCTCTGCCTCTCTCTGTCTGTCTCTCATGAATGAAAAAATAAAATAAATCTTAAAAAAAAAAAAAGACAGCCAGTTTGTGGTTGGTTGTTACAGCAGCTCTAGAAAACATACACCTGCCTCATGACCCAGTGGTTCCACACCTGGGTATAAGCCACCATAAGTATGTGCATGTGTTCACCAAAAGACATGTACCAGAATGTTCACAGCAGAACCATTTGTAGTAAGCAAAACCTAAATAAAGCCCAAATACCCATCAAGAATTGAATGGGTAAGTGAATTGATTCACTAGAATGCTACAGCAATGAGAAGGGGCAGTCTACAATCAATCCGTAATGACACAGAGCAAAATAAACTTCCCAAACATGATACATGGAAGAAGCTAGACACCATAGAGAACATCCTATATGGTTCCATTTGCATTTTGGGAGGTAGAGGCTAGAAGGCATCCCAGGGGCTCCTGGGGGGCTGGCCATATTCAGTTCTTGATCTGGGTACTAGTTACATGGGTATGCTCAGTTTGTGAATGTCATTGATCTCTATACTTATAATTTGTGCACTTTTCAGTATTTGTTATACTTCAATGAAAAGTTTTTTTTTAAGATTTTATTTATTTATTCAGAGAGAGAGAGAGAGAGAGAGAGAGGCAGAGACACAGGCAGAGGGAGAAGCAGGAATCATACAGAGAGCCTGATGTGGGACTCCATCCAGGGTCTCCAGGATCACGCCCTGGGCTGCAGGTGGCCCTAAACTGCTGCGCCACTGGGGCTGCCCGAAAAAATATATATATTTTTTAAAGGAAATGAGGCAGGGAAAGAGGGAGAAGAAAAAATAATCCAGCCTTTCCAGCAAAAAAGTGAAGCATATACCCAGATGAAACAGGATTGACAAAAGGTTGGTATCTATTGAGCTTTGTGAAGGCATGTGCAGTTCCTTATATCATACTCTCTACTTTTAGGTTTGAACATTTCCGAAAGAAAAAGCAAAACCCCCTACACACGTGTGCACACACACACACACACACACACACACACACACACAAAAAAAAAACACAAACACTCTAATGGTTTCTCATAGCCACAATAATACAATCAAAACACCCTCACCTGCTCACTAAGGTCCTTTATACCAAAACCTTCCTGATCTCAACTCCTACTTCAGGCCTTTGCACATGCTATTCCCTCTACCAGGCAGTTCTAGTTCTTATTATCCTGCCTAGGCCCTTGTCACTCAGGTCTTCATGTAAAATCCCCTCTTCAAGGGTGTCTGGGTGGCTCAGTCAGTTAAGTATCTGATGCACTCAGGTCATGATTTCAGCTCAGGTCATGATCTCAGGGTCATGAGATTGAGCCCCACATCAGGCTCCATTTCCAGCTCCCTCTCCCTCTGCTCCTCCCTCTTGTGCTCACTCTCTCTAAAATAAATAAATAAATAAATAAATAAATAAATAAATAAATAAATAAATCCTTAAAAGAAAATTTCTCTCTCCCTCTGCCTCCCCACCCAGATACACATGCTCTCTCTCTTAAAAAAAAGAATCACTTCTTCAGAGATGGCCTCATTGACCATCTAATCTAAAGCAGCCACCACCACCCCTCCCTTTGTTATCTCCATTTCACCTCTTCTGTAAGACTTATCACCATCTCAAGGTAGGTATCTCTCTTTCTGTTTACTCTTTCACAGTGCATCTCTGTCACTGATATGTCAGCTCCACGACAGTGTGATCTTGATGGTTTTGGTCATTATTATAATCTCAGCATCTAGAATAGCATCTGGTACCCAGTAAGTGCTCCACATATATTTGTTGATTGAGCCAATACTGATGCTTCTTGATTTACTTAGCAACTTTTATGTACAATCGAAAGTTATGTTACTTGGAGTAACATTCTTTTTCCTTCCAGGAAATTGAGGGCAATGATACATGCCCCTCAATTCCTCCCAATGCTATCTTTATTCCAAAGACCAATTTAATGTCCCAGGAAATGAACAAGCTGAGGAAAAACATAAGCAAACTGACACAAAGGGTTCATTTCTTTAACATATAAAGAGTGATTACAAATCAATAAGAAAAAAAAAACTAACAATCCAATAGTAATCTGGCCAGCATAGGTCTGGCAACTGCCCAGCAAAAGAAATACAAACAGCTCTGAATTAAAAAACATTCAGATTCATTCACAAAAAGATAAACACAGCTATAACTGCACTGAGGTACTGTTTTTACCTATCTGATCGGCAAAGATGACAGTAGTGCAGAACACCCTCTGTTGGGGCATATGGGGAAAACAGTCTTTTTTTTTTAAGATTTTATTTATTTATTCATAGAGACAGAGAGAGAGAGAGAGAGAGAGAGAGAGGCAGAGACACAGGCAGAGGGAGAAGCAGGCTCCATGCCGGGAGCCCAACGTGGGACTCGATCCCAGGTCTCCAGGATCACACCCCAGATGCAGGTGGCACTAAACCGCTGCACCACTGGGGCTGCCCTGGGGAAAACAGTCTTGCATGTCACTCACTGCTAAGAAGATAATTTGGCAATGTGTGTCAGAATTACAAAGGCATATACCCTTTGACACAGCCATTTCACTTCTAGGAATTTATCTTAGAGATACATTCACACTTGTGCAAAATGATCTCTCTGGAATGATATTCCTAGCAGTGTGGAGTATTTTTAGCAAGAGTAGAAACAAGCTGGACGCACAGCAGTGGGGAATGGGTAAACGAATTAGGGTGGATCTTTATGATGGAATACTATACATTCACCAAAAAGAATGAGGACACTCTTTGTGTCCTGATATGGAACAATCTCTAAGATGTCCTGTTGAGTGGAGAGCTCAAGAGACAGAACAGTGGGTCTAATGTGCTGCTATTTGTGCTATTAAAAAAATACATATCTAGGGATGCCTGGGTGGCTCAGCAGTTGAGTGTCTGCCTTCAGCTCAGGATATGATCCTGGGGTTAGGGGATTGAGTCCTGCATTGGGATCCCTGCAGGAGTCTGCTTCTCCTTCTGCTTATGTCTCTGCCTCTCTCTGTGTGTCTCTCATTAATAAATAAATAAAATCTTTAAAAGATTAAAAATAAAAAAGTGTATCTAGGTATTTCCTGGGTTTGCATAGACTATACCTGGAAAACTATACCATAAACTAGCAACACTGTAAATCCTTCCATATCTCTTGAGTTTTGAACATTTACCTAGCCTAAATAAATAAAGATTCCCACCCCCACCTACCCAACTGAACAGTCACTTCTGCCCAACATCCCTGTTTTTCCAGCTATTTGTGTTTTGACTGCAAAGGCCTCTGCTTTCTCTCTGTGCCTCAGAAAGTGGACAGAGTACCCAGATGCTCCTGACCTCTCACTTCTTCACTCTAGCTGCTAACCATCTAAGAATGCAGCTTAAGGGATTTGAAGCCCCAACACTCTATCCTTCGAAACTGTCCGTTCTGCCTTTTCTGAGACTCCTCCACCTGATAACTCACATAGAGGTGTCCCTTCCAGATGAGGCCTGGCCACAACATGAGCAAAGCTTAGAATTCAGCCCCCTACCCTTTATAACGGACTCTTCCAAGTCCCCATACCTAATTTTGATCCCATAACTTTGTCTTCTTTTTCTCTAAAAGGACCTGCAAATTGTATAAACATCAGGCCCCACAAAACTGAACCCATCCTGCTCTACACTGCATTTCTCGCAATGCAGTGCATTTGTTTATGTACAATTTTTCCTCTTGCTATACTGTAACTCTCGGGGGCAGAGGCCATGTGTTATTCTTGTATCCCTAACCCTCAACACAGTCTGGTCAGCCCCCATTAAATGCCCACTGACCTGAATCAAAGAATAAAGCCAGAAATAAAGTCTTATTACCAATGTTCTTCTGACTAGCTTGGTAATGAAAATATCTGTTAACCACTGTCTCTCCCTAGTGTGACTCTCAGTGAAAATCCCCCTTCCTCCCCAGAAGCCTAAAAGAGAGGTGTCTACAGATTTCTGTCTGAATCAGCAGGGAGAGGAAAAGAGTGGGGGAAGTGCATCCCAGTTTGTAGGGGGGGTCTCATGGAGAGAAGTCCAAATGAAAAACCCAACCACACCCCCATTCACTGTCACTGAGACCAGAAACTTAGAGGTCAGTCCCAATACCTTCCATCCCATCCAACATATCTGCAAG